GTATTAATCATAATTAATAAACTCTATTCATATTCCATAAATATTCAAATCATAATAAATGAACTCCAATCATTTCTATAAATATCTCAATTAATTGGGTTGCAAAGGTTGTATAAATGCACAAGGTTGTAAAAGAAATATACCCTATATATATATATATATATATATATATATATATATATATATATATATGTAGAAAAGGTGTATGAAATTGCGGATGGTAATTACGATTAACTAAATCAAGTGGTTGTCAATTAAATTCAGGACCTCTTGGGAGATGGGAGTTGAGGGGGATTACATAACTATGTGATAAGAAATTAAGAATGCACTCGACACGTGGCGATAGTTGGTCCCTTCATGAGCAACATGTCTTGGGGTTGGACCCGCAAGCCTATCAATATTACCAGCACAACTAATGGCACCTGATTTTCCACGTGAATTAGCTATTAAGACTCTTTTTGGTTGATTTTTTATTAAGTTGGATGTATATAAAACTATTTGTATACATTGATTTGTTTAGGGAAAACTTCACAAATACGAAACCAACTTTTCCATTTTAAATGGTTTAGTCTCTATTTTTTTAAATGAAAAAACCATTAAATGAACGATTAAGTTTCTGAGTATTTTTTTAATAAATAAACTTCTCCTTCTCCTCCAACGATCATTGTTCCTCCTCTATAGATCGATTGATGCTCCTTCTCCTCCAGAGTCCGCTGCTCCCTCGACCCTCTTCATCTYTAGTTGCTCAATTTCTCCAAACTCAATCTTCTCTCTTGTTTCTCACTCGATCATTTGTTCCTAAAATTGAGCCATTTTTGTTCCTGAAATCTGCCCCTTGATTTTTTGCTAGGTTATTGGGTGTTTCCGAAAATCAAGCGCTCAATTTTTTGTTGATTATGGTGCAATCAGATCGATGTTTCTATTTTAGGGTTCTTCATCTTTCTTGCTTCTTGTAAGTTTCTTTCTTAGGGTTCTTCATCTTTCTTTTTTTTTCTTCTTGTGATTTAGGGTTTGATGTGAGTTTTTGATTTAGGATTCAAATTTAGTTTTTATACGCTTTCTGGGATGGATTTTTACTAAATTGTTGTTGATTTTGGGTTTGATTTTGATCTATCGTTTTCTCTGATAATCGTAGGAGACTGGTTTTCCTTAATGTAAAACGAAGGGTAAAATAGTATATTTTCACCATTCAGACCGTTTATTCTACATAACAACCGAACAATAACTTATCAATTATCATACAGACAACTTTATCACTTTAGACAATTGTATTCATACATGACTTAACAGAAAAAAAAAAAACTAAACAATCTCTTAATAATTCAAAATGAAAAAGTTTAATGATTTAAAAAACAAGTTGTACTAAACCATTCAAAATGAAAAAGTTTGACTAAGTTTTTTTTTTACTTCCCATGTTTAAGTTTATATTGTCATTTACTTCACCATAATGACTTTCTTTTTTATTGTCATCAAACTTCAAAAATGAAACCATTATTTTTGTTGACTTTATGACTTATTTGACTTCACAACTGTAACATGTAATTATGTATATAAACCAAAAACTCTCATTGGCGGACCTACATGTGTAATAATGCATTTACTTATCAGAGAGAAAAAAAAGTTGTGTCAAAAGAATACAATTTTTTTTTATTAACCTAAATATCTAATTCGTTATCCGAGTCAACTAATCCTAGGGCGACTACCTGTTTTACAGATAGTCCGGAGTCATCGTATTTAAACCTCCGTGGCTATAAGAGGATTTTTATTCGTCCTTGGATTTGAAACTGAGACCTCCTGATACTTTTGACCTTTGGAGTCAAGCTCAAAACAATCAGACATCATTGTGGTTAAGAATAGAAATTATTAGTAATTAATTCAATAATAAAAAGAAATACATTCTCACCAACAGATGTTACCGACAACTTTATTTTGTCGAAAATATAAATAGGTTACCGACGGAATACATACAACTTTAAAAATCAAAAAATTATGACGAATTAAACGATAAATGTATATATTACTAAATACTAATGGATCGTATGGAAGGTTTAGTTTTTCTTCTTTTATGTCGTTGTAATAAGTTATGCTGCGTTTTAATGGACTTTAATTGGTCGTAATGGGTCTTCAATGAGTTGTTGTGTACCTATCTTACTATGTATAACATATAACGTATTTGGTCATAGTGGGTATGTATGATGTATATGCAGTATATAGTGTGCAAATTATGTATAACATGGCAGCTAGGGAGTAGGGAGCAAACTATGTACGCAGATATTAATGCGAGATATATAGCGATTAATGGACGTGATGATTAAAGCTATCGAGACCATCAAGCTTGCCAGATTTCTCGAGCCCTCTCAGGGCCTCACCCTCCTAGCCACGGTGGTTGCTTTCTCATTTGAGTATGTTCGTATATTTGTTTGTTTTCTTTTGTTTAGTATCTAAATGAATGAACATAAACAAACACGAACAATAATATTTTCTTAATAAACGAACATCAACACCAAAAATTTTGTTCGTTTACCGTTTATGTTCGTTYGTTTGTTCTGTTAAATGAATCAATAATCCATAAAACTAATATATAATCAATACTCAACCATTTTAGAGCAAATCCAGTAATACTAACAACTGAATTTCATATAATATTTTTACATAGACCTAACAATTTGTTACAAAGAAAACAAAAATTAATGGAGGACTGAGGCTTTTAAAGAGGTTGGGGGGGAGTGTTTTCTTGAGATTTGAGTAGGGATATTTTTCCATTATTTGATATGATTGTTGAGCCTTAATTGATATGTATATTATATAATTATATTACTATTTATGTTCTTTTTATATATAATTTAGTCAGAGACAACTTTTTTGTATAAATGTTTAATAATTATGAACATATATATATATATATATATATATATATAGATATAGATTTTGTTTCAAATGCAATCCATTCCATTTGTACAACTAGTGCAATCCAATAAATTGAAATATTTATGGAAATGATGAGAGTTCATTTATTATGATTTAAATATTTATGGAATATGATAAGATTCATTAATTATGATCAATACTTTATATTAGGAAACAATCAAAACTTTTATGAAATGCATATTTATCAAATTATATGAAATGTTGAGATTGAGTTGTATTGGTTGTATAAATGTAAAGGATTGTATAATAACACACCTCTATATATATGTGTAGATTAAGAAAATTAATTGAATGTAATGTACTTAAATTTTAAGAAGTATAGATAAGTTCTACTAAATGGTTGATGATGAAAAATGATTATGAATAGACTTATAAAACAACATATCCAAGATTAGAAGAATATTTTAATGTACCAAAGTATCATCCTGATCAACCCTACTAACCCGTACTATTAGAGTTGGTTGGGTTCCACTTTGGTTTGGGTTGGATTTAGTTGAGATTTTTTAAACTGCATACATTACGTTGATTGTTCAAATGTTTTCAACTTAATCAATCAAACCCATAAACACTCACGATTTTAAAACTGGTCAGTTGGGGTAAAGAGAGTGTTTTCTTGAGATTTGAGTAGGGGCCTCTTCCCATCACTTAGAGGCTACGTCTACCACTAGGAATTAGATCAACGACAAAGTGTTGTAGAATTATAGCAATCGGTCAAAATTCGGTTAACACTCGATTCGGATAGACTCGGCTCAAACTCGAACTCGACTTGATATATTAATGAGTCGAATCAAGCTACCCAATACTTGACTCGAAAAGCTCGTGAAATACTATATTCTTTTTTATCTATAATTAGTTTTAAAATATAATATGTATAATATAATGCAATAAAAATGTCCTATATTTTTAGATATTTATATAATATTGTGCATTTTTAACTACAAAAACTAATCAATATTTTTTTAAAATCATAATTAAAAAAGACAAAAAAAAAAACTATAGAAGTGTTGGTGAAGTTGTCCCACATTGAAAGATAGATAGTAAAAGAAGGATGAAGAGGTGTTATAAAAAATGAGGTAGGTGAATGAAGTTTGTAAATTTATCTATTTGATGAAGTTTGAGGTGGATCATTTTAGTTTTTAAAAATTTAACAGAACACCTTTTAAGTTTTAAAATTTATATAAGAGAAGACCCTAAAATTTCATAAATTTCGACGAGTGAGCTTGATTCGAGTTTCACTTCAAGCTTCATTCGACTTCGACTTCGAGCTTGGTTCGAGCTTTAAACCAGTTCGAGTTAAAAAAATTGCAATCAAGTTCGAGTCGAGTTTAGATTTTTAATTACTCATAAGTTTTCGAGTCAAGTTCGAGTTTGAGAAATGGTTATCACGTTCGAGTCGTGTATATTGATACTCGAGCTCGACTTGCATCATTTCCACCTCTATTTATGGTAGTGAAAATAAATAGACTTTATTTCAAAAATGAATTTACGCTAAAGAGACTATTCTTTAAAATATGGTCCTAATATTTTAGTACGAAACCCGGTTCAAGATTGGTTTTGAACCCATTGGGCATGAGAGCGGTTGCATCCAATAGTGAGCTTCATCCAATCATTCTTTTATGCAAGATAAATAACTAAACACAAATATCCATATCTAATAACTTGATCCATTTAAGCAAAAAAGATCGTTAAATAATCAATGAACAAAATTAGTTAAAATTTCAATCCTGACATGAGGCCGATCGACAAATTCGAAACTTGAAACCCTACAATGAAGGATTATGTATGAACCATACACATTGAGAAGTTGTGGTCAGGTGCAGTTAGAGGACTGCAGAGGTCATGCGCGAAACAATCTCGAGTGAGCACAGTTGCAAAAGGGATTTTTGAGGGAGCTTGCATCATATGCCGTCGTGGATTTGTGAACCAATGAAAAATGATAGAGTAGGCATAACTAGCGAGAGAGGGATTCCGTGTTGAGCCAAGAGGCCTGAGGAGGGAGCCTAGTCTCACTAAACTACTAATATCAGTTTCTTGTTTGGACCGGTAATTTACTTGGTACTAGTAGTGAAGTCATTAATATCAATTGTAGTTACTACTATATTAAAAAAATCCAGGGTGAGCAACAATTGCACCCTCATGCTCCAATATACACTACAAGAAAAATCCTCATTAGTGACCAACTATTTTTCGTCACTACCAATATAAAAATTGGTCATTAAGGCCCTTTAGTAACCAAAATTTGGGTGGTTACTTTTCGTCACTAAAGGTCCGTCACTAATTTACATTAGTGATCAAATTCAAAAAGGGTCACAAATTAGTAACAAAACTAGAGTAGTCACTGTATTTGTGACGACTAACCTGGTCACTAAATGTTGTCACTAAATGTCGTCACTAAATCAGTGAAAGTCGTCACAAATTTCTCATATTAGTGACCAAAGTCAGCGACGACCACAGAGTAGGTCACTAGTTAGGTTCAAGATAATGGATCCGTTAGTTGGTGTTAACGTCCATTAGAGACCAAATATGTGGTCACTGACCATTAATGTTTTCTAGCCTTCTAGTGACCAAAAAGGTAGTCATTAACCGAAAGGATATGAACAAAAATTATGCTAATTTCCACCTCAATTGTATTGCAATAAAATTTAAACCTACTAATATGTAGTAATGGAAATCAAAAACATTAATTTCATTTTCATAGCGTAAAATTCTTTGATCCAAACAAAAACAAACACGTCACTATTATATATCATCAACATATGTCTATTTGTACATCCTAAAAGATTTTAGTATCAACATATGTCTATTTGTACATCCTAAAATCGAGATGCTGTGTGAGACAGATATCAAAATGCTGTGTGAAAGGCAGAAATCGAGAACTACAACGATGAGAATATGAAATCGAAGACGGGATACAGGGCGTGAATCGGTGGAGGAAGGAGGCGGGTTAGGGCAATTGAAAATTTGAGCCCAATTTTACAAAAATCAAACAATAGCCACAAAATAACTGACTGCACATATATAGAAAAAAAACAAGCATCAATGGCCACCACGATGAGATGATGACGACGAAAAGATGAGAGGAAGGAAGCAAGCATTCAGCTTATAGCTTGCCCATCAACAGGCCATTTCCATTAACAAACATTATTAAAAAAAAATTAATTTCAACCTTCACTAGTGTGAAACCTGAAATGGAGTTTATGCAAATGCAAATGCAATTGGTGGAGATGATTCAGATGCAATTATTAGAACTTAGTGGCTGGATTGACTATAACTTTGATCTAACAATCCCCAAATACATAGAACCGATAGCTAGTTTCATCAAAATACAACACGTTTCTCTACATTGAATACAAAGTAGAAACCCTAATTTTAGATAGACCAACCAAATAGCAAAATAACTTCACCACAATGTAATCAAAAGTCAGATGAGATAAATCGAGTAATCATCTATATTATATCATAAACAAAAAAGCTAACTTGTAGTTGTCAATTTATAATACATTTGCGATTAACATCTCATTTGATTGCTCAAACAAAAATACCTTGTAGAGACCGCTTTACAGATGAGCCTAGGAATTAGAGGCAATGATGCAAAGGTGTGAAGCTCGTCGTCACCATAGACGGTAACCGCTCCCAAACTCTCTCCGGCGTCTGATGACGGTGCTGCCGTGCCGGCTTACAGTGTGTTAATGGACTCTTCGTTTATCGTCCGTCTCCGTCCCTTTCTCGTTCTAATTCCAAAGAACATAATAACTACGGTCCATGACACTCAAATTTTAAAGCCCAAATTTCTTCATAAAACCCATGGCCCATTTTTACAGAAGAATTATCAAACAATCATTATCTATATTTATACTATATTATAAAAGATTTGACAAAAACTCTTAAAAACTATTTTTTATACATGATGTACTGTAAATTGATGCATATTACTTAAAATTTTAGATTACAAATAAATTATGCACAAGTACAACTTATTAAAGCTCCATGTTTGAATTCGTGTAACTAACTTTTTTTTTTTGAAAGGCAAAAGGAAGGGCAAGGAAGAGAGCTTCGGCAAGGCCATCACCCWCAACCAAGCCAACCACTAATATTAAACAAAACATAAGCGAATCCAGCAAGAAGCTAGAAACAAAAAAGTACAGAATACCAAATACAAGACGAGGGGCAAAAAGACGAAAACATCCCCTTACAAAACCAAGGAAAAAACCTATCCCAAACAAAACGGAAAGACTAGACAAAGACTAAATAAAATAGGGAGAGGAAGACCAAACATCCCAATCAAGATGGAATTTACGATTCCTGATTCCCATCCAAAGCTTCGAGACGTTTTGAATACACGGGAAAGGGTCTTCATCTTTTTTTTTAGAATTTACCCCATCCTCAGCATGAAGAATTTCGTTCCGCCACTTCCAAAGATGCCAAAGAGCCACAGCGCAAACTGATAAAAAAATCACACCAACCTTGCGAAGAGATCCTACTTGATTGATTAGCATTTTGAAATCAGCCACCGAAGAAAGTCGTGGAGCTTGAAGATCCCACCAGGCCCAAATTTTCCTCCAAAGAATGCTTGCCACCGAACAAGAAAAGAAACAATGATCCATTGTTTCAACACCTTTTTCACACAGGATGCACTCCAAAGACTGCACCTGAATCCCTCTTTTAGATAGGTTAAATCTTACAGGAATGGCTTCTTTAAGGAAGCGCCAAATGAAAATGTTTACCTTCTTMGGAATTAAAGGGCTCCAAAAACATGGTTCATTGCTTGAACCATTCGAGATAGCAAGCCCTTGGATTAACTTAGACATGTGGTTTACCGTGAAAATCCCTTTTTTGTGCCAATTCCAAGACCACACATCCTCGCCCGAAGTATTAAAATGCGTTTGAGAGAGTTGCCTTTTTAAAGCTAGAAGATCATCTAAGCTTCTTCCTCTAACCGTTGTATTCCAGTCCCAAACACCAGACCAATAACCATTAGTATAAGTCCATCTATCTTTGAAGACGGCGTTTTTATCCCTTTCCAAAGCATAAAGTCTAGGAAATATATCTTTCAACTTTGACCCTTGACCAATGCTTGCATCATTCCAAAAAAGAGAGTTGGAATCTTTAGCAATTTGTTTCGTAAACGATTGAATAATATTTTGATTTGCCACTGTCACATTTCTGCAAGTGTTGACTATAGACACCCATACACTATTTCCAGCCAAAGGCYTATTAGAAAAGAGACCTCCATCCTCGCCATAAAATTCAGAAATAACATCTTTCCAAGTGGCATTAGAACTAGACARGAACCTCCAAACCCATTTAGCTAACAAAGCATCATTTTTARCTTTTAAACAGACAACTCCCAAACCACCATTTGACTTTGAGCACATAATTTTCTCCCAAGCGACCCAATGCATTTTGTTTTCCCCCTCCTTATGTCCCCAAAAAAATCTTCTCCTTATGGATTCCAAATTGTTGATGATTGTCTTGGGYGCTTTGAAGAGCGAGAAGTAGAACAGCGGAAGGGAAGATAGCACCGACTGAATCAGAGTAAATCTTCCGCCTATGGAAAGGCATTTTGACTTCCAGTTTGACAGTTTCTTGAGGAATTTGTCTTTAACAACCGACCATGAAGCTATTTTCTTCATGTTACCCCCAACAGGGAGCCCCAGATATGTGAAGGGAAAAGAAGAGGCCATGCATTTTAACATACCTGCCATGTTGTTGACCTCCGCTTCCGGAATTCCAATACCAAAAAGGTTGCATTTGGATAAATTTATCCGCAGTCCTGAAACTTCATGAAAGCAATTAAGAATATTAGTAAGAGTTACTAAATTCTTACGCGACCATTTGCCGAATATTAAAGCGTCATCCGCAAATTGAAGRAGAGAAAGATTTCGATTAGACTTTGCCAGCCGGATGCCCTTAAACAGCCCCTGGTTGCAAGCAGATCTGATCATGAGTTGTAGGACTTCGCCTATAAGCAGAAACAGAAACGGAGAAAGAGGGTCTCCTTGTCTTAGACCCCTTTGCATGTTAAACTCGTCGGATGGTGTTCCATTAATCAAAATGGAYGTAGAAGCAGATTTCAAGCAAGCTTTAMTCCAGTTGATCCATTTATTTCCGAATCCCATTTGCTTCATAGTGTGAAAGAGACACTTCCAGTTGACCGAGTCATAAGCCTTTTCAAAATCCACTTTGAAGAGAAAAATTTGCATTTTCTTCTTTTTGGCATGATTCACGATCTCATTTGCTATCAAGCAGCCATCCAACATTTGTCTACCCGGGATGTAGGCAGATTGATTACCACTGACGAGCTTGCTCATAACCTTTACCAATCTGCTGGTTAGAAGCTTAGCAATTATTTTGTACATACAACCAAGTAAACATATGGGCCTATAGTCCGAGACGTCCAAGGGATCAATTTTTTTGGGAATTAAGGCGATAAAAGAAGCATTGCATCCCTTGGTTATCCTGCCCGAAAATTCAAAAAATTTAACCGCCTCAATAATAGACCTGCCAACCACTGGCCAAAATTTCTTAATGAAATTAAAATTAAGGCCATCAGGCCCTRKAGCTTTCGACCCATCACAAGACCAAACAGCCTCTTTTATTTCCATAGCGGAAAAAGACGATTCCAAGAGATCGGCTTCAGAAGCCGAAAGTTTAGCAAAAAAAGGACAGATGAACTTTGGTCTAGAGGAGCAAGGCTCTTTGAATCTGTCAGCAAAGTGCTGTAAGAAAACACTTTTGACAACCAAAGGATCAGAAGTCCAAACACCTTCGCAAATAATTCCTTTAATGTTGTTCCTTCTCCGACGAAAGTTAATTAAATTGTGAAAAAATTTGGAATTTTCATCCCCTTCTAAAGCCCATTTG